ATTCTGGGAGTTGACGTCCACCCAACTTAAAGTTGCTGAGGTCGAGAAACACTGAAGTAGGGTATAGCCAGTTCTATGGTGGGTAGCAAACTTCTACCAGTATAGTCACCCTTAGAGGGGACAAAAATCTGCGCAGGCCAAATTATTTCACGTGTCCCAGCCATCCACGTGCAAGCGTTCCTGGGCCCCACCTGAATTTCTGCCCCAAACATTGCTGGAGCTAGCATTAATCTTCCAAAGCGTGACTTGAGTCAGGACAATTAAGGAGGCTCTGTTTCATGAGTCTTCTGTGCTTTTAACACCCTCTTCCAATGAGGGCCTAATTTCTCTCTCTCTCTTTTTTTTCCTTATCAGTCCTGTGCTAACAAATCTGTCCATTCTTGGATTGCCATCGACAGTCACACAGCAAGAGACCTGAACGCTGGAGGAAGGTGAGGATTATTTTTAAATCAATACACCTTCTCGTGGCTTTCAAAACACTCCTCTATAAAAAGCATTTCATCACCTTCTTACTTCCTCCCGCCTCGCGGAGTTCGTTCACGTGGCGTTGGCCCAAGTCTTTGTTATCAACTTGGCTGGCCTTGTAAATACAGAAATATTTTGATCGGTCCTGTATGAGAGATTGCAAAGCAAATGGTAATTACTGGAATTGGGCAAAGCCAGTCTTGACTCAAGAAGTTGTTGACTAAAATAAGGCCAGGGAACTTTCTTGTTTGCAAATATTTGTGTGCATTTCCGCTGCTAGACTGATACGGCCATGACTTTGCTGGTCTTTGAGATTTGGTGACTTTTCCAAAAAGAAAAAAAAAAACATTCTGGCATGTGAAACGTATAGAACAATTAAGCTTGTTCTGGAAAAAAAAGACCTTTTCACCCCTCAAAATATGCAGCTTGAGCTGCATTTCCGATATGAAAGAAGCCACCAAGTCGGTTTAAAGATCACGAGATCAATATTTGAGCTAGGTCTAGCTTGCAGATACCACCGATGACTAACTCCACGCGTAAACTTGGGAGAAGAAGTGGATTCTGTTTTAAAGTTCACCAAACACCCTCTTGGCAATGCCTTCTTCCAGAAGTCAATAAAAAGTTGTGAGAGCCGTTTCCTTTTATTTATTGTGGCCTTCTTAGATTTAGGAATGGTCAATAGAACAACTGCAGCCAGCAGATATTTACAAAGATTGGAACAGAGAGAAAGAATATATATGTTGGTGGGACCAAAGAGGTATGAAATGGAAAAATGATGAATTTGGGACAAGTGAGTTAGCATAGCGACTTCTGTCATTAATATTTATATTTGTAGAGGAAATCATAATCTATTTATGGCCAAGATAACTTCTTGATCAATTTTCCTTCTGCTATTGCAATACAAAAGTCCAGCGATTGGTATCTTGAGAGATTTTCCGACAGGCATGTCTGTCCTAGTTTTCCTTTGTAGATTAAATTATATGATATGAGCGCAGATTGAATTATACGAACAGTTTTGGCTATTCCCCAAGCTGAGAATAAATTCCTACTCTCATTACGGGCAAAGGCTGTTTGAAGAACCTGCTTGGGGAGCAGAGGAGTTGGGAAATAATGTTGGCTGTTTTAATAAGATCTTGCGTTTCACATTTAGCTGATGTTAGCAGCCTTGGGAGCCCTGTTGCCTGTCTAAAATTGCTAAAAACTGACCCATTTTTTAAAAATTTCCAAGCAAACCACTGGCTTTTCGAAAATCAGGGGTAACTTTGAGCAGGAGACAGACACATGCTTGCCTTGTTAGCAAAATGGTGTCCAAGGGTTCACTGAGTTGACCCAAGGACAAATCTCAGAGTCCGTGTCTCAGTGTCATCTGAGCCATTCTGGGGCCAAGGTTGGAATTCTCCTGGCCCTTCACACCGTCTGTTCTGCATCACCGCACTGTATCTCAGGGCAAAGTACCTATTCCTGAAAAGGACTCTGGTCTCGTGCTTAGACAACCTCACTGACCTCATCTACAGTAAGCGTCATGCTCCCAATCTCCATTACGAGGCCAGGAGGCTGCAGACAAAGATGATCTTCCTGACTCTCTCCACTTAAGATTTGATTTCAAGAATGGTTTTCAAAAGATGCTCTTGGGTTCTGAACCCCTCTGAGGGTTTTTGCACTGTGAAACAGAGCAGGGATCAGGAGATGCAGATGAAGATGAGGTCACATATCCGTGGTGACCACCAGTTCCTTGAAACATGTCCAAATTCCCAGGAATGATTTGAAGATACAGGATGGAAGCATCTTTGTTGAATCTGAGTTGGGTCAATGCTTGAAGGACACCCATGGAAGAAAGGAGGAATATGAATTAGAAGTTGGGTGTGTGTGTGCGCTAAAACATACCCATCAAACTGCCATCTCCAGGAGCCTAACCAGAAACATTGCTCAACCACAATGGGAAAAAATTGACCTGAGACTGCTGGTCAGTTCTCACCCATGTCCTGCCTCTTGCACTCTCTCAAAGCATTTAGCACCCTGTGTCTTCCCCTTGTAACTCCATACGGGTTCTGGTTTCAAACATAAACTCAGGTATTGATTCTGAAGGTTTTTACAAAGACAAGCAGAGGCCGGGCTGATACCGAGAATGCCAAAGCCACCGGCCTTAAGTGGGTGGTTTCCCCCCTGCTGCTTTCAGCAGCTCTCTAGAAAAGCCAAGATGCTTTTCTAGTCCTGGAATGTGAGTTTTCCAGCAGAAGACCTTGACCTTCCCTTCTCAGAGCATCTGCTCCCCTGTTGAATGTGGGGTGCTCCAAACCCTCACCCAAACATATTTTTGCAATTATGGCAAGCGTAAGCCCTTGTCTGTGTAATGATCTGAAATGTAAATTGGAGACTCGGGCTAATCCTGTGTGGAAGTTTGTTCTGCAAAGTTTGATCTGTTTTTCTTCCTCATTTTCAGAGGACTTTATCACATCTTCCATCCATTTTCAAGCCGACTTGATCCCTGTAAAAGATGGTAGAAGGGGCTGGTCTGGACAAGCCTCACCCTCACGATGTCTTCCTTTCAGGCAGAATAGAAGTGAAGGGAGAATTATTTGAAGAGCGCTTTGGATGTTGGGTGTTTCAACCCCATCCCGGTGGAATTTTCTTCTCCTTTGGGACTTGAAAACTGAAAGCCATTTCCATCCATCAAACTGAGCGTGAAGGGGAAGAAAAATGACACTGCAGAAATGTTCTGCAAAGCACTTACACCTTTGGAAAGACAAGGATCTCCTCCTTCACAAGGGCCAGTTTCAGAAACCTGCGTCTCTTTCAGGGCAATCTGCTGGAGGCGCCATTCGGTCCTCTTTGACGGCACAGCGCAGCCTTCGTCCATGCAGAGCGGCCCAGGTGCCAAGGGGACGTCACACACTCGCCATGACTCAGCGTGGCAGACTTCCAATCCCTTGTTCTTCCCTGCAGCCTTAGCTTACCTTTAGGCTGCACCACCAAGCCCTGGAAACAGGGAATTTTGCACAGCTTTGGGAAAGGAGCAAGCAGGAGGCTGGCAGGTGTTCTGAAGTGTGCTTACCCTTCACAGATCTTTTCGCTTCCCCAAAGAGCACCTAAGGGCACTCAGCAAACGCTGAGCCCAGCTCCAACTCTCTGGTGTAGGACAGATGGCGATCTGATAAGAATCTCCCCGAGGAAGATGCATTTTCATTCTTGGCACCCAAAATATAGCAGCAATCTTCCTACTGGGGCCTGGTTGTTGGCAACTTGTCCAACTCCTGGGGAACAAGATGGTCTTAGATAAATTGGTTGCATTGCTCCAGAAGTCAATACCATTCAGCCTCTGAGAGCGAGAGCTGCAGAAGTGTAGAACCAGGATGGGCAACCCCCAGGCCAGAGTTGCCTGAGGAGACACTCAACTCCCCTTATTGCTGTCTTCAAAGGATAGCTATGAATCAGATTGTTGCAATCTGATCTGACCTACCTAGTGGGGCTGGTCTCAGTTGAGAAGATCATGGGGGGCCCACCACCTTCCCAGAGAAGCCATATCAGGATTTAGAATCACTTCGTCATTTGGGGCACAATCGCAGGAAGGTTTCCAGCACAAGTTCTCCTCTAGGAAGCCCAGGTTGACCCAGGTTGCCCCCTGGCTCTTCACAGCAGCAAGAATGATCAAACCCTTTGGGGTAGCAAGGACCATCTTTCTCGACTGTGTTCTTTCACCCCACCACGCTGATTCTGGGCACACTCCGCGCACCCCACTGTGAGGCTTGGATTACTGGTTGACCTTTGATGGACTGATCTCACCCTGGGCTCTCTGTAAGGGCTGACTGGGCCTCTCTTCTCAGGATATCAAGGGCCCGGGCCATAACACTCTGCCTCTACCAAATCCATACAAGACAAGCTGCACATGCAGATGAGCTTTGAGTTAATCCCATCATGTCCTCCAAGGCCTTATGCAGCCACCCGATCTCTCCACGAAGTGAATCCTGTTCTATCTCCTTTGCCTCTTTTCCCTGGTGGCCCTGTACTCTCTGTACCTTTCCAGTGACTACGTGGTCTTCTCCCTGCTTTAGTAAGGTATATCTTCCTGCATGATCACTGCTTGGAGTCCTGCATACCCCGAGGGCTTGCGAGAAAGGCTTTTGTATTCCCATCAGATCAGCATCATGGCCTCAGAGCATGAGCTTTTGACCTTTAGAAAGATAAGGCATGTTCCCTGTTGATGCCAAGCTCCAATATCCTGAGGGTGGGGTGGATGGCATAACCCATACATTATACAAACTCAGCCGCTTTGGAGAGGTTGAAAAACAAGGGACTTGTGCCGATCCTTGGCGTGAAAATGCTCAGGCTTCCCACAGACTCTGCCCCCCCCCGAAAGCAAACTAGTTTAATTTGACTTCCCCAAAGCTAACGTGACAGTAAAGCAGAGGGACCACCAGACGTTGGGGGGGTGTTTCTGGATAAGACCATCACAGTTGCTGTCTTTTGGAACATGTGTTCAAATCACCACCATTTTAATAAGGAGAGGGTGGAATGTGTGAGGCCCACCCCAAACACAAAAGAGAGGGTGAACATTGGCCATGTTGGTGTAACAGTAATAATACACTGGTGTCATTTAGAAAGCATACAATGCTTAATTTTCCTCCTTGCGTTTTTTTTTTGAAACAGAAGGCAGTTCGATGCCTCATTCGGCCAGATACGTGTGTGTGTGCAATGCCATTTCAGTGAAAAATCTTGATGTGTTCTTGGAATGATTAATGGTTGGGTGTGTGCATTTGCAACTATTATGATACAGTCAAGGAATTGTCCCCTATGGATAGATGGATGGATGGATGGATGGATGGATGGATGGATGGATGGAGGGTGGGTGGGTGGATGGGTGGAAGAAAAGGATACGATGCTTGGGTCCTGCAAAGTGTTCTCATTTGGATGGGTTCTTGGGCCAGCCTGGGATCTGTCAGACACCAATTTGGAATCCTCCACCCTTTGGCATTCAATCAGCTTCAGGTCTTCCTTTCCAACATCAGAACATCCAATATGAGCCAGTGGCAACGGTCCCAAATCCACGTGTTTCCTACTCCTCAGAGCTGACTGAAGAGAGCGAAGAACACTGAGCACACGTTAAAACAGTGGCAGGGTGGATTGGGACCTTCAGTCGTGCCCCTCCCTTCTTAAACAAGGTTCCTGAGAAGCTGAGTTCTTGCCCCCAGTTCCTATCCCATAGGCAGCAGCCTGAAGGGCAGAAAGGCAAATCCCCCACAGGCTTCAATCACAAAGAGAACATTGACTAATTGCCCTTTAATAGGACTGAACAAGGCAGGCTTCTCTCCCCCCGCTTCTGTGCACCAGGAGGCACGCATGAGAGCACACCAAAAAGAATCGGATGTTTTCAATGGGATTCAAAATGTTCTCTGCATGGCTCTGTATGACTCCTCGCTTCCTCCCGGCATGCACATTTCTCTGCACTCTGTGGGCTCCATGTTCAAGGTCTCTCTGCACCAATTAAAGCCAATGCCACAAGCCAGGGATGGCATGGTAGCGCCCATCTCACGTCCCTCCTTGAATCAGGACAAGAGCCCACGGGCCTGACTTGCCACCAGTGGGGTTCAGAAGGACCAAACTCCTTAGGTTCTCAGATTCGGGAACTCCTCTTCAGGTCAAGGTCGACCGATATTCTGCCCTGTCCTTTCAAAAGACAGTGTCGTAATCTGTGAGCTGAAAAGGGCAAAAACTGCGGGGGGGGGGGCACAGAGAAAGGTAGATCAGGCACCCCTCCAAATTCAGCCCAAATGCTTGGCGAGGCGGTCTTGACATGGAAACTGTACCCTGTAAATCTGGATCCTGCTGCCCTCTGAAGCTCCTCATGGACTGACGCTTGGCGTGCCCGCCACCCCTATAAAGAAGACACCCTGCCTTGTTTCTCTTAACGTCATAATGAAAGGGATTATTGTGAAAGAGAACATGAGTTCTGCTTAAAGCCACTTCTGCTCTTGAACACGCGAGCTTCAAAAATCCTCTTGTTCTCCTAAGTATAGCTTGCTCCCACTCTATGATCAGGATGAGAGAGAGAGAGAGAGAAAGATCATCCTGTTCTCCTCTTCATATGCCACGTCTCATTCATCCTGTGCTTTTTTTGGTTAATCAAGTAACACACGCCAATCCCCAGCGTCGTCCTTGCTTCCAATTTCACCACATAATATCTTTGGTTACGTCCTGTCCAGCATCGTTATCTCCGTTCCCTAAGGAGGCTTCCGCTTTCCATACCATGGGGCATCGCTTAATGCAATTCACCCGCTTTTCTGGCACCGCAGACGCCAAGAAAGAAAAAGAGTTCAGGACCCCCCTCCATCTCCAGCTGGGTTTCCAAGGAACACTGCCCCACCCTGAAAGAAATGGGTGCTTAAAGGAAAATGCCAGCTAATGCCCAGTCTACCATTTCACCTTGGGAAATGGACTTTTGTCCTCTTCCAGGGTACCATGGAGTATGGTCAAGATTGCCAAGTTGGCATCCGCGATGCAGTTGAAGCTCTGGGTATTTTTTATGGGTGTCAGACCTAAAAAACAGACAGAGCTTCAGTTGGATCAGGACTTTTTCAATCTTGCAGACATTCCTATCCCCTTCAGTGTCTAGTTCAGTGTTTCTCAAACTTGGCAATGTTAATTCCCCATGGCTGGCTGGGGAATTCTGGGAGTGGAAGTCCACTTGTCTTAACATTGCCAAGTCTGAAAAACACTGGTCTAGTTGGTTCCAGAGTCAAACTACCAAACTACAAACCATTCCTAGAGCCCTAGCAGATGGATCTTGACCATTCCAATGGCCTTAGGTAGCCACCAGCCACCCATTTAGATGTGAGGTGCACAATTTAAGAGCAGAGGCCTGCAAGGGCCCCCCAAAAGGAAGGCATCAGGTAGGAGGTGGGACCTCCAGGCGCCTTAAAAAGTTGCTACCCCGTTGTTACTTTTCATAAGGGGGAACTTATTAAAGACGTGCCTGGAGGGTAATTGCATGACCTGTGTTTAATGTTAATGACTTGCATGCAAAGGAAATTAAATCTAATGGGGGCTTTGACCACCCACTGATTTTAGCAAGCAGGGCAAAAGGAGCACACCTCGGCTTTCGGTGCCCGCGGTTGAATGCAAAACTCTGCAGGGTGGCAGGGTCAGGTTACGCGATTGATCTTCACACAACCCTTCCCTGCCAAGAAATGTAACTCCTCTCGTCTCACCAGCAGTCGCAGGGTGGGAATGTTGCCCGTTGTGTAGAGCAAAGAGAAAGGGAGCCGGGCGCAGGACGAGTGTGGCCAGTCCCCAAATGTCTTTGTTTCACACAGTCCAGTTTCCTGTTTGCATCATTGTATTAAGCTCCCAACAGCCCTTCAGGCTGGTTTAGCTCCTATCCTACTGCCTTTTTTTTTTTAATACCCAGCAAAACGAGTTTTATCATCACGGGATATGAATATAATTAGGAATTCCAGCTTCTCAGAGCCCGTCTTGAAGCCGGTGGACTTCTTCCAGGCTTTTTAGGTCCCGCGGCGGTTGCTACCTGCTCTCTTCTGAGCTTCGGGTTTCCAATGGGACTCCCCTCCTCCCCCATCCCCCCCACCCGGTTTTAGGATCCGGCTTTGATCTCACGCCCTTGGATTTCATTGGCTTTGCTTTCGGCTGTTTGCTCGATAACAAAGTGTTCTCACCCCCTAAGAACAATTTGTTACAGGGCGACTAATAAATTGGACGCTAAAACACAC